ATGACGGAGATGAATTTAGAGATACCTGTGTACCTAGACCCATAACAGAGGTAAGGTAAACCAGAAGACCATGGTTAGGTCTGTGATCTAAGCTAATTATCCAGACAACCTCTATTGCTGAAAGAGAGAGAGAGAGAGAGAGATTGGTACCTGGTGAGGGCAATTCATGCTGTCCTAAATGGGACTCCAAAGCAGCAAAGACAAACCAGCCACTGAAGATGCCCATATTCCTCTGTGTCGAGGAAATACACACGGCTGTATGAAAAAGGATGGACTTCTAAGCAGCTAAATGAAGTGAGATGAATCCTACCACATCATCTGTGAATTTTCTTACTGAATCCTGTTCCAAAAATGCCTGAGTCCGTCTCTTTCCCAAACACAGATGTCATCTCCTCAAGACGCAGGGAGTTGTCCTGGTTTCTGAGCTTCTTGTTTTTTATTGGGGAGTTTTACAGGTTTGATTAACATGGCTTGATAAGTTGATATTGATATCTCTACAGTGCCAAATGATTGATTTTCGTGTTAGCCAACGTAGTGACATGCTACTCTGGTTTGGGCGTAGGGAAAAGCCAAAGGGTTGATGATCTTCCATCACTAGAGCTCCTAAAGGCCACAGTCTCACATTCCTGGGGGCACTAGTTAATCATTTCAACTTGACTTCAGTCTGCCCAGCTGATAGATTCTCTGCCTCTGTCACTCCTTACCAGCTGCATTTTCCCAACCTTTCTCTTGTGTTCATATTCAAGTTAGTGCAGATTTGTGGGCAGTCACTCCAGGAAACCAATTCAGCTCAGAAGTAATGTTAGTTCACAGGCAAATCGAAGACACAGAATCATAGAAAAGACCTTCAGGATCGTCAAGTCCAACTGTAAACCCATCACCACCCTGCCTGCTAAACCATGTCCCTAAGTGCCTCATCTACATGTTTCTTGAATGTTGCCAGGAACAATCATACCACCCAGCACTGTAATAACTTGGGCTAACACATGGCATGGGGAGGAACACAACTAGGGACTGAGGAGCACAGAAAACATATTTCCCCATTTCTACCTGGTGAATGTCTGTGTCAGGATACAGGGATTCACTGCTCATGGCATCAGATAGGTCCGCTCCATTATTTTCCCTCCTTCTCCTCATACCCTCTTTCACTTTGAAAATCCAGTCTTTATGGAGTTTTCAGGCAGAGTCCTGCTTTTGGAGTTGTTTTATTTTAACCATACTCCTCTTGGAGTTTTGGGGATGAGGAACAGACAAACCAGAGCTGTACACAGAACGAGGCCAGAGTTGCAAAATAGCATTTGCTCAGACTAACCGTTCAGACAGCCCAGAGAAGAGTTGGAGGAACTGCAAGTGGCATGCCATTCCAGTCAAAAATCTTTCATACAGACAGCACGCATAATGGGCAGATGAAATTCAATTTATAGTGTTGTTACCAGAAGCAGTGCGCTTTGGGGAAATCCTTCAAGGGATGATTGCAAACACATGCCTGCTAACAAAGCTGAATGTGAGATCTACACATATTCTTCACACATGTCCGCGCCCATGGGAGATGCACACACAAAATTTTGCCCAGGAATTATTCTGCACTGTTGTGCCAAAAACTCTTATCCACCAGTTAAGCAAAGTCACCAAAACATACCAGAAAGATCTATGAGCTTCTGTGGCTCTATTTTAACAGAAAACCAGGTCACTTTTAAAACAAGGAAAAGTCAGACTTGTTGGATAGGACAGATTCAAAGGAAAGATTTCAGTGGCTATTTCACCACCCTCTCCCAGGTATTCATCAAGGCAGTAATTTCCATGCCACTCAGCAAGTTGTGTTGCACTAACTCCATACAATCACATGTAGACCTGTAGCAAAGTCATCTTCCTTGTTTTGCCTTGTCTCAGGGGACACCGCTGTCCCTAGAGTATCTCCTCTAAGGATGATGCTGTAGATATTTAAAGTTCTCTCCACTGTGTTCTCTCTCGGAGTTTCACTTCTATTTGGGGGCCCTGCTACATCTCCTAAAGCTCTCTGGAAAGCAGCTCTAACAGAGGCTGAGAACTTCCTCTCTGTACAGCTCCCAGACAGAAAGTAAATAACAGGGTTGATCATAATAACAGGCTATTCATACAGGCAAGAGATAGGGAAGTGTTAAAGACAAACCCAGAAAAATCAAAGGATCCCCTAACCAAAGTCAGCAGTGATGAAGGGGAAGAAGAAGACAAGGAGCAGAATGGTAATATGGAGTTCACGTGGTGAATATCGCCATGAACAACAACAGCCTGGGGCAAACAGGATTAGACCAGAAAGAATCAAGAGGAACACAGATAAGATGTAGCTCAGGATGAAGACTATGAGCTTTGTAGGAGAGAAATGCAGGATTACAATTGGCAGGAAGGAGAGGGCCTAGAGCAGGGCATACACAAAGGCTGGCGAATGCTGGGGGCAGTGGCAGCAACGGGGGCTGGGACAAGAACAGAAAAAGACATCACAGCACTGACAGCTGTCAGGAGGCAGACACCGGTGGTGAAAGCAAAGAGGATCATGATGTTCAATAGAGTTGTTACATCACAGGAGCCCAGTCTGCGACAAAAACTCCCTGGGCCATAAAATATCACAAGGGCAACAGCCATGAAGAGAAGGAAGGCAAAGTTGGTGACAGCCAGGTTCAGGATGTAGACAGTGAAGGGGTACCTGCAGACATGGGAGGTGAGGAGCCAGAGGACAGTCCCATTCTCTACCAGCCCAAACAGGCAGATGAGCAGTGTGGCAGAGACTTCATTCAAATAAGTGAACTCACAGTCAGCTCAGTTGTAGTCATCGTCCTTCTATGAGCCAGTCTTCATCAGCAGCCCCTCGTGCCAAGTCCTGCTACATGCAGTCCCATTGGATTGGCTCCAGCAGTCAGGGCTAGCTCTTCCCACAACAGGGAACCCTTGCTGTGTTCATTTCAAAACAGCTGGAGGGACAAGAAGATACAGAAAGATGTTAATGACTGTGCTGTCCCCTTGGATTGTTGCAACCATGCCCCAAATTGTGACTGTGCTGTCCCCTACACTAGGCTTTTTGGATTGTTGCAACCATGCCCCAAATTCATAGAAAAGCTAAATGCAGGAGCACAAAAAGCAGCAAGGCACAGCAGGCTTGGAGAAGACATGACCTGGGGGAGATCAGTAAGACATGTTTGGTGCAAGAACTGGTGCACAGATGAGAATAAGGCTAGGGAGATACCACCTTTCTAGCTTTCAACAGGAAAGATCTGGAGGAGAGGAATAATAACAAGGGACTTTCCTTAGAATTGTCAAAATAATAAGGGACTTTCCTCAGAGTTGTCAAAGAGCAAGTGGTTTTGGGAGGAGATCACATACAGATTCTTACATGTCTAATATTGCAATTAATATTATTAAACTGCTGGATTTCACTCAGTGAGACATTCTTTTCAGTATTCTCCTCCTGCCTTTTCCCACAACATTTATAGATCCAAATTTCCTGGAACTTCTTATTCCTCTATCATATTTGCTGCAAATTGCCCAACAGTCTTAGAACCAGTTACATGAGGGTGCAGATTAGGCTCAAAAAACCTACCCAGAAAAGTCTGACCTTCTTTCCTCTCACACACTGGGGAACCTTGTAGACTTGCTTCAGAATCACCTCGCTTAGTGCTTACCAGCCACCATTCCCATGACAGGATCTTCACATGATGATTTTTGGAATTACCGCTTGTAAAATGGACACAGCAAACAAGATTGACTCTATGAGCTCATGCAGTATCAAGCAGAGGATCTCTCTCAGGTCCTTTCACAAGCAGCTTTTCTAAGTGCAAGCCAAACAGACTGCCAGTGATTCCTGCAAACAGAGAACTATTTTGTAGCATATGAGAGTATCAGGGCTTCATTAGAATATCTAATCTTGATCTTGCACAGGAAATTACTAAGAAAAGAGTCTCAGAAGCTAGACCTATGGGAAAAGCACATAGTCTCTATGTCATGTTCCTCTTTCCATATTAAAGCAATCCCAAACCTCAAATTTTCTTATCTTCCTACTGGATGGGTTTTTTTAATCCTATCTTCCCAGGAATCAAGACTTTAAGACCTTGAACTACAAGTCTGTTATCCCTGTAAAATTTATATTTCTGATTCACTTCTAGGTTTGTCACTTATATACTCCGCATCACAGTGATATCTTATCTTCAAATGCATAGCTCCCCACAATGTGATGCTATGTGCATTAGAGAGCTAAGCAATAAGATTTGTGCATGGACCAGAGCAGAAGCAGAGAGTAAAGAGATGACTTAGAAATTCAGAAAGAAAAAGAAAATTGAATTTTCTTACGGTAGGTGAAGGACCAACCTCCATGATTCGCAACTTGTAAGTTGTGAATATCAGACAGGCTGGGATGGATTTCCTCTGTTAAGACTGGTGCAGGAGGGCAGCACAGCAGAGGGAGCTGAAAATGGTATTTCTGTCCCATCCTGTCATCTTCTATTTTCCAGAGACTTTTGACATTTATGGTAATGTATGCTAATGACTTTAATATCATCCCAAGGTCCCAGAATACACTAGAAGCAGGAACAGTTGGAAGAACTCTTCTCAAGGAAGGAAAAATGGTACAGACCTGGACACAGGAGAATGGGAGAACAAATGGCATGTAACTTTCAATCCACCTAATTTCTGCAGTATAAACCAGTGGGTTTCTGATGCTGTAATTTTGAGAACAAGAAAGGGCACTCATGGGGTCAGCGAGGGTAGAAATTACAACCAAACTTAAATTATATAGAAGTCACTTTTATTAAGATTGTTTTAAAAGAATTTTGAGGTTTGAACCAGCCCTGCTCCTTTTGAAATCTCAAGTCTCTTTGTGTCCCATGTGACATGCTCTGCTATCCACCACTGTTCTTGTTCACTCAGACAGAGGTAGGGCTCAGCTCCCATGGATGCTGGTGAAGGATGTGGTAACGGGGCTGCTGGTCTCCAAACGCTGGTCTGCAGCCTAGATGAGTGGATACTGTAAGGGTTCAGGCAGCAATTCCCTCTGCAGAGGTCTCATCCATTATTTGAGGATCTGTCTTATCTTCAAAGACCCTTTCAAGAGCAACTTTGAGAGATCCCCTGAACGTGGACTCTCTGTAACACCCAGCTAGGACATAAATAACTGGATTGATGCTGCTGTTGATGGATGCCAGCAACAAGCAGATCTCCAAGACAAACTTAACATAGACAAAAAAGTTGAGGAAGATCTCGGCGCTGAGTGGGATGGCAAAGAGAAGGAAGAAGAAAACAGCAAGGAAGACCACTGTGTACATCCTATCTGAGTGATGTTGCCATGAGCTATGCTTAAGCTTGATGAGAAGGATCACATTGGAAAGAATCATAAAGGGAGTAAAAAGGCAAAAATTGAGAAAGCACAAGATTGCGAGAACCATCCAGCAGTGCTTGCAGTGAGCCAAATCACACACAAAGTACACAAGCACGGACAGCACACAAGCAAGCAGCCAGAGCAGAAAACACATGGCTACCGATAAGAGCTTTGGGCGATGACATCGGTACCAAAAGGGCCAAAGGACACACAGACACCTCTCCACACTGATGGCTGTGAGGAGATACAGGCTAGTGCTGTATGTGAGCAAAACCACAGAGTGAAATGGCAGGAGCACGTGCAAAAGCTTTGGCTGAAAATAGCTGAACAGGGGGGCATGATATACTACGAGGAAAACGGATGTAGAGATGAGAAAAAAGGAATCTGCAATGGCTAGGTTCAAGAAGTAGGGAGTGAAAGGGTTCCTCTTGATGCAGAAACCAAGGAGCCAGAGGATGGTTCCATTCCCAAACAGCCCACACAGGCAGATAAATGATGTGATGCTATCAATGAAAATTTCAGGGATGTGGTCTGCAAAGCTTCCAGTCCTGTTGCATCCATCCCCACATACCAGGTTTCTCTCCACTAAAGCCAGGGAGGAAGACAAATCAAGCACAACATTGCTGGAGTGGTGGTCCATCTTTCTTGTCGTCTTGTACTCACCTAGAAAAAGGGAGGAAATGAAGGGAAAGTTAGTGACACAGTCCCAGTACTCTGCTCCTCTGGTCATTCAGTCTTTTCTCAGCTTCACGAGCTACAAGATCTGCAACCTGAAGAACATACGTATGAAGTGCAAAGGAATATATATATGAAGTAAGTACAGAAATCGTGACTAGGGAGGGTGCAAAAAAAAGAAAAAAAAAAGGATTGAAAAATGCTTGGGTCTAAGAACAATGAACACAAAGAGATTACAGAATAAGAAACAAAAGACATGCAGGAAACATTTACCCCTTAATGTCCGTAAAGGGCTGTGGAGGTATTTGAACAGAAGGTAAAGAGAAAGTGAAAAGCTGAGTGTTTTAACGATAGGAAAGAACACAAGCCCTGGATTCCATCTCACCAGGTACATGGGAGATCCAAGCAGGGGCAGATTCCTTGCACAATCTTGATAGCCCAGAGCTGTAAACTCCAGATGTGTCCGTCAGTCAAGCATATGAAGTTCTAAAAGGTTGCCTTGCCAAAATCCTCCCAGATGTCTTCTGGTCCCTAGGAACAAGGTAACTCTATGGTAAGCTTCCTACAATGGTCCTTGCACTGGGTCTGGCTCCCTGTCCCTTCTACAGCTCTAACATGAATGGAACCAGGGACCACAGCCCGTGGTTGTCTTCTAGGTATCTGAACATGTCAGGGCTTGGTCATCACTTCTGACAGCAACGGAAGCGTCTTGACAAAGAATCATCCTCACAAGACAGATATTGCAGCTCATCGCTTCACAAACTGGCCGTCGTATTTAGCATGAAATTTTTATCTTCCTCTTTGCTTGTTCTCTCCAGAAAATTTTATCTTCCTTTTTGCTTGTTCTCTTCTGTGTCCAACTGCAGTGTCCCTGAGATTTTTTTGATTCCTGTCTGTGTGCATATCTACTCATCACTATTATATAAAAACCCACTGGACCTAATATCCCACCAAGAACTCCAGGGAAATTAAATTAAACACAATCCACTACTCACTGACCATCACATCTCCACTTGCAAGACCTGGGTAGTAGAGCTTAACAGTACAACCCTGTGCCACGTGCTCTAGGTGTCCCTGCTTGAGCAGGGGGGTTGGACTACATGATCTCTGGGGGGTCCCTTCCAACTTCAACCATTCTGTGATTTTGTGAATACAATATTTTGCAAAGGCTGGGAAAGAGAAATATATAATGTGCCATATCCAGCAATTCACCCTTCAAAGTGCAACACAGTGTAATCTCCTTCTCTAATGTTCAGACAACTGCCACAGCAGGTAACTGCTACAGCAGGTGGCTGTCTGCTTCAATACCCTGTCCCATACATCTCTTCCATGGTTTGAGGTTGTGGAGACACAGCATGAGTCATCGAAGGGATTCATGAGTTTAAAAACCTGATTTCTGTGGGGCACAAGCCACTTCTTGTCAGTGGTGCCATCCCTTTGCCCTACTTTAGATATCTAATTCAGGACTGTGGAGATCTGCCCTGTTTCATACTTTCTACCCTACAATGTATTTAAAGAAATAGGTCAGAAGAAATATAGAATAAATCACTGTAGAAAACCAGGTCAGGAGAGGAAAATGCAGCCCAGGAGGAAGGAAAGCAAGGGAATCATTGCCTAGAGTTTGGAGAAGAGACATCTGTGGCAAGGAACAGGGCTTTTTCTAAGCATTTGCGGGAACCAAGATGGAGCAGCCTGGCAGTAATTCTTGATGTTTCTGTATCAGCAATGCCAATCACACTGGGAGAATATCACGCCAAACTGGCCCGAGCTACAAACTTCCATATCTACTGTAAGCATTTTTGCTTTGGCATGTCCCTGTTTCTCCACAGGCAGAAGGAAAGGATGAGAAGTAGAGGTATAGGTAATGCTGATGTGATGTTGTCTGCTCCAAATGCAGCTTTTCTGTGACTTTAATAAAATGGGAGGTAAAATATTCATGAAAGTACTTACCATTGTCATAATTTGACATGATACTTGGACCCATCTGGAATCTTTAAAAAATAACTTTTGCTTAAACAATAACGAAACTAGAACAAAGCAGTCTTCAATACTAATAATCTGGTTTGTTAGACTCCAATTTTCATCCCATCAACAACGCCAAAAATTGCAAGTTGTTCCAGCCACAGGCTGGTTTTGAGAGTTATTTTAGCTCTCCTATGGGTCACAAGCTTACGGCACTGCCAGGAAAAGGGCCACACTGTGCCACTTCATTTTGTTTTTAGGAGGAGGATGTGAGAGAGCATTAAAAAAGGGGAGGATTAAGGAGGGAGTAGAAGTACTCATAAGTGGGGCAGTGAGAGCAAGGCCAATTATAAGGGTTGGGATATCGCAGAAATTGGTGGGACAAGGAGGCTGTTCTGGACAGCAGTTTCCTAGAACCGAACACTTTGTTTGCCCAGCTGACACATCTTTTCTTGTTCAGACTGATCATTTCCCTCTTTTGATATATCCAGACTTGAGCTGGGCCTCAGCACTGATCGTCAGTGGCAGAGTCATGCTGGGTTCCTAACTCCAGCTCCTTGAAAAGTGCTTCTGCCAGGAACAGCACATCCTGGCCTATTCCTTCCTTTGTTCATCTCACCAAAATTTTAGTATTGACCTTGCATATGCTTGGGATAACTTTCTGTCTGCACCATTTCACTCTTCCTGTTTCACAGCCCTTAAGCCTTCCTCTAAAAAATTGTGTGCAGCTGGCTGCATGGGACTTTTTCTCCTCTGAATTACTGAATTCCTGAATGCCCAGATCCTTGTGAAAGGAACAAAAAAAAAAATTGGGATCCACTCATTACTATTGCCCTATTGCCCTATCCACATGCATTTCCATTTATTGTAATTATTTGGCTAAGTTCCTAAATTATTTCTGAATAATGTTTTAAATTTTTACTCAATGAAGGCT